GCCCCCGGGATACCCCCCAAACCCAAGAATGGTTCGGCCCACAGCCACATCAATGTTTATTCGGCGAGTCCGGGTCCCACAGCCTGTGACACTCCCTCCCCCTCCCCTTCCCGCCTCTTGAAGTGGCCCGGGGCCGAGCCCCGCCCCCAGCTCTGCTCAGCCAACTGCCGCCCAGCTTCCACGAGTCTCATTTGCATTTCCGGGAGCTCTGGCCCAATGGCAAGGTAGCTCTCCACCTCCCCTCCCGAGGGGGTGGCACTCCCGGTGGACTGCACCACTGTTGGGATTCCAAGGATGGGGGCAAAGTGATTCCACTGAGGTCCAGATGACAGGAGGGTGGTCTTCGGGGTGAGGAGTTCAGCGGAAGAGGGGGTTCTGGCCTTGGAAGAGGCCCAGCAGCCCGCTGTCTGGCGCGGGCTCCTTGATGATCTTCTGGATCTGTAGGGGGAAGAGGAGGGTTCAGGGAGTCAAGAGTCCCCATGTCTGTGACAATCTGGAAGGGCACTTCTTCATTTTCATCCGCCTTGCCCTCTTGGCAGCGACAGGCCAACCCAACCACTCCCTCTTCTCAAGACTTTTCCTCGGGCCTCCCTTCCACCATAGCCGCCTGGGTTATGATCACCTGCCATCTTGGTCCACTTGTCTGGCTTGCTGCCAGTAGGCTCTGTCCTGGAGCTTCTGGTCTACACCCTGCTCCTGTCTCACCTCCCCCATCCCTCAGCTCCCAAATCCGGCCCACGCCTTGCCCCTCAACTCCGGACTCTGATCCAAGTGCCTCTTACACAATAGTGTTCCCCCAACCAGTAGACCACAGGAGCATAGATGCTCAACCCGCCTCTCTGGGGCTGCCTTCTCCCAAAGCCCCACATTGCACCCATCAGCAAGCCCCACCCTGCTTGCCTCCAGAAATATAAGCACAATCTGCATCCCCACTGCCTCCACTCTGGTCTCCCGCCCACATCCATGGGCCACCCGGGACCAACCTGCAGATCTGACTCTGGCCAGCTCCCTTGTGCAAACCCCTCCACTCCGGGAAGACACGGATCTGGCTCCTCTCTGCCTCCTCCCCTGTCACGCTCACCGAGCACTCGGCATGGCCCACTCTGGTTCTTTGAATAGGGCGAGTTCGGGTCCACCTGCAGCCCTTTGCCTCAGCTGCTCCTTTGGCCAGGAACACTTTCTGGACGGCCGCTGCCCCTCCCACTGCAGGCCTCCGCTTAAGGGCCATCCCTGCTGTGAGCCCCATCCTCTCTCTCACACACTCTGAACACTCCCTTCCAGCGCCTGACCACAACGTGGAACCGAATACACCCTGGCTTTGGCTGCTGCCCCAGGACCTGCCCCATTGGTTGGCCCATAGTAGGTGCTTAACAAATAACTCAACAGAGCTGGCCTAAGAGGAGGCACAAGGGCGGACCTCAGAGGGCTGGGGCATGTCCCTTCATCCTAAGGGCCAGCAGTGTGACTCAGCTGGGGCTACCTAGTCAGACCCGGGCACTAGCAAGGCCACCTGGTGGTGGTGGCTGCGGGGGACGCAACTGAGGGCCAGAGACGGGAGGAAGGGACGGAGGTGGGGGTCAGGGGCTCCCACGCAGGGCTTCTGGCGGACTGTTTGTTCCTGTCTGCCTCCCACCCTCACTTCACTCTAAACCCACCTTTCACCAGGAGGCCTCCCACACCACCCGCACAACCCCTCCTCTGCACCCTAACACTCCCAGCCCCTCCCCTGCGTTCTCGCTCTCTCCCCCGCCCTCATGGCCACCGACAGCTTCCCTTGCCCTTCACGGTGTTGACGGGACTTAGAACTCGGCCGCCAGGAGGCAGCAGCCTGCTGTGCGCCCAGATGTAGGCTGTCAACCACCACGTGGCGGGCTCTGAGAAGGGAGACCAGGGAGGGTGGGGGGGAGGGTGCGGGGCCAGTACCTCCTTAAACTGGGGGTGGGCGGCGTCACCCACAAGCTGCAGAATGAGCCCCTCACTGGTGGAGAGGAAGGCGCCGCTCTGCCGCATCCGGGCCAGTGCCACCAGCCTGTCCACCTGGCTGCGCGGGAGACGGAGGTTGTTGGTGCCTCGGCCCGCACGCCCAGACGCCCGGCAAGGTTGGCAGGGATCCCACTCCTCCTAGACACCCCACCTGGGCCCACGTGCACCCACCCCTCAGCAGGACCCCCTCACCTGCGGGAGGAGCAGGCATCCACCACCACATGGACCTGCAGCCCCCGGTCCAGGAGGTCCAAGGTCGTGTTCTGGGGGCGAGACATGTCAAGGGCAACCTCAACCCCAGACAAGAACAGGGGCCTGGGGAGGGGGACGGGGATGAGGGAGCCTCAGATCAGGGCAGGGGGCCCCCATGTTACAGCAGGGTCCTAGGGCCCCACGGGAGCACGAGGTAGAGAGGGGTCCTGGGAGGGATGAAGGTCCCAGGTCAGGAAGGGGGTCCTGCCAGGAGGACAGAGGATTCGGGGTCAGGGAAGGGTATCCTTTTGAGGATGGAGGTTCCCAGGGGTTAGCTGGGGGTCTCACCAAGATGCACGCCTGGGTCTCAATGCCACAGAGGAGCACGGAGCGCAGCTGGGGCCGCGTGTCTAGCTCCTGTTGCACCGCGGGCACCATGCTGAAGCAAGTTTTGGCCAGTGGCCGCAGGCCTTCAGCACCCAGCTCGGGCACCGTGGGGCCCAGGCCTTCTGGGTACTGCTCCGTCAGTACAGCCGGTACCTCCAGCAGCCTGGCCACCT